TCTTTCTTTCTTTCTTTCTTTCTTTTTCTTCTTCTTTCTTTCTTTCTTTCTTTCTTTCTTTCTCTTTCTTTCTTTCTTNCTTTCTTTCTTTCTCTTCTTCTTTCTTTCTTTCTCTTTCTTTCTTTCTTTCTTTCTTTCTTTCTTTCTTTCTTTCTTTCTTTCTTTCTTTCTTTCTTTCTTTCTTTCTTTCTTTCNCTCCAGCGCCTCCCCCTTCTGCCCAGGGCTTGTTCTCGGGGCCCTGATCCGGGCACAGTGGGCCCTCAGACTCTTTGTTGACAGAATGGCAGTAACATCCAAACTAAAGCTGACCTCTCTGATGGCCCCAGGCCAGGCCATCTCCCCAGTTTTGGAGTCTTCCTCCCACCGCCTCGTGTAAAATGCCACAGGCATGTCACCTACAGAGCCTGGAGTCCAGGTAGCAGAAACCCGCTTTATAGGAAGAACCAGGCGGCTGGCCAGGCCCCCAGCTCCCTGCAGACGGACAGATGGCAGTGCTACCTCTGAGCCTGCCTGGGGCTTCCTGCCAAAACCACCCAAGCACAAACCACTTCCAGGTTGGTGTGGTGTTCCCACCAAGTGGAGACCTGCCTGCCTTTGTCACGGTACCAGTGGGGACAGCGTCTGTTTCCTGAGCATCTGGGGGCAGCACTGCCTCTTTCCTTTCTCTCCCTCCCTCCCTCTCTCTCTCTCCTTTCTTTTTCTTTTTAAATCAGAAGAGTTTTCTTTTTCTGGCATGACAGGGACGCATTCTCCTAGTGAAGCAGGAGGCTCGTGGTGTCTCTCCCAGTCAACAGGAGCCGCTGTCCTCCTTGTGGGGTCTGGCAAGTGTGCAGATTCATCGCACACCCTCTGTAGAGGCTGAGCCATCACATTTAGCTGAGCGCACTAATAAAAGGATTATTATTTAACAGTTTAACTGCCATCAGTTCACCCTTTTCCCGCCTCCCTGAGTTGGTGAGCAGAATTAACGAGGACACTGGCCATGTCTAACAGCTTCTGTCTGTGACCTTCTTAGCAAATTCTCTGCTTTCCTGTATTTCCCTCTCAACTACTTGTTACTTCCATTCTCCAAGTTGACCCAAAGATAGATTGGGACAACCGTTTGTGGGTGGCTGTCAGAATTGATGGTGGCTTGTGTGGAAAATGCATAGCTAGTTTGAGACCTGTGGTTGGGGTTCCAGACAGAGTCAATTAAAAAAGTTTCTACCTCACAGGGAAAAGTCAAACCAAGTGTTTTGATTATGATGCTATTGTAATAGATTTCCTGCTTGGATGACCTGGGTTTGAAGAGTTGGAAAACTATACAATATACCCAATTCTAAAAAGAGCACAAAAATAATGTGATCTTTTGGGGCGATGAGTCAGAATCTTGCAGAGAAGGCGATGAGGCGGAGTGGAAAGGGTGGTCTTAGGTGATCCAGGTTCTACTCTGGACAAAATCATGTTAATGATTTGGGCCCAGCATCTGCCCCTGTGTGAGGATGTACACTTGGCAGCTCTGTTTAGCTCTACTGTTATTTAATAATTGCCCCATGAGGTATGTATTGGGGTTACTGTTACTCCTGTTTTAGGAGAGGAAATTGAGACACAGAGAAGTGGCAGAGCCTGCAAAGCCATAGTCCACAATAACTGACTCCAAACCTTGGTTTTTTGACTGTGATAGCGTCTACTTACCTTGCAGGCAACTGGAAAAAAAATGAACTTGTGTACCATTTTCTATCTGAGGACAGTCTTTCAGAGATCTTCAAGGCTTTGCTCAAGGCCATGCATCCAGTAAATGGTGGACCTGGGATGTGAATCCATGATTGTCTGACTTCAAAGTTTAAGCTCTTAACCATTACGCTAGATTTCTACCTAAGATTATCTCTCACTGTCTCGAACACACATAGAAGGTGTGGTCATAAGAGCAGATTTATACCCAGTAAGCTACCTAATTCAGGACCATTGGAAGCCGGGTTCAGTGGTCTTAAATTCTGAAACATATCGGGCTCACCAGGATGCAGGTTGGACTCAGGTCTCATTCTAGCACCAGCACAAAGTAAGATGCTCATTTAAACAATTTTAGTCAGAGTTCTGCAATGGCTTGAACATGTATGCAAATACCCAATACCAAGTGTGCACCATATTAGAATTTATTATAATACAAACAAGTCCAAACACAATGTATTATCTAATTAAGAAAATATGAACATTTACTAGTTTTCTATGATAACACTCCGTTCCATCATTTGAGCTAGAATAGCCAACAGTAGTCTTTTATTCACGTGAGATAGGCCTCCCTGCTGGAACAGCAGGCACCAACTGTGCAAAGTAATCTCCAGTTGCAGTGTTTGCAGAATGGAAGCTCATGCCTTCTCATGACCTGTCTTTTAGAGTTTGTCTGTCACCCTCCTCATTTCCTTCCCCATGAGACATTTCAGTCCTCACATTGTTCAGTAAGAAGACACAGCGTGTATGTCTGTAGCATTACTGCATGTCCAGGAAGGACACAGACCACACGACAAGAGACAGCTAGTTAACAATCTTTGAGGGAGGCATCACAAAACCTGATTAAGGCAACTGCTTAAGTGCCGTCAGCAGCAGCTTTTAAATGACAGGCTTAAAAATTCAAGGCTTTATTTCCAAAACTGGCCTGAAAGAAAAGACAACATTTTTAAAAACCTTTTAATTATTGTACACAATTATTATAATAAATAATAATAAATTAAAAGTCAGTAGATTATCTGAGATAAATTTTTGGAGACACTCAACAGGCATTCATATGCATTTTAATCAAAAGACAGTAGCTCAGAGTGCCTTCAAGAATCAGACCTCTTTTAATGAATTAAGAAGTACCAATTGGTAGTTACAAAATGGTCATGGGGATATAAAGTACAGCATTTTGCACTCTAATATTGCAAATGTCAATAATATTGTAATAACTCTGTATGGTGCCAGGTGGGTACTGGAAATATCAGGGGAAACACTTTGTAAAGTAGATGATTGTCTAACCACTATGCTGGACACCTGAAACTAATATAAAATAATACTGAAAGTAAACTATAATTGAAAAATAAAAAATGCAAAAAAAGATTTAAAAAAATTAGATCTCTTTTAAATATCATTTTATGAAAATACAAAATATAGGCAGAAGGAAAAGAGATCTCAATACTACTTGATAGAGCCTCTGTTGTTGAAAGGAGTAACAGATGAGTGCAAAGGAAAACATTCCAAAGGCACGCCCAAAGTTCACTTTTTAAACATCAACAATGAACTTTTACATGTAATTAAAACCGTGGAGCAGAGAGCATTGAGATCCACACATATATTTCCCAACGTATATACATTCTAAAGAAGGAATCGCCTAACCTGTGTAGATATTGCACTGTGGCTCATTCACATAGAGCTCAAGCTAGCACTTTTCAGAATGATGGGTTTTAAAAATAAATATCTGTATCTGTACAAATTCAGTGTAGTAGCCTTTGGTCAACGTTTACGCTTAAGGGAGCACGTCGGAATTACATCATACACATGTGAAATGGACACACATTTGACCACACACGCTTAGCAAAAAGAAACAGAGAAATGCAATTTAAGGGATGTGGGGAGTCTGCCCACTCAGTGCACATAAGCTTTGGAGAGTGTGACATGGGTGACAGGAGTCTGCTTGCCCCTCAATCACACAACCTCCATGAACCTCTCCTAATGGGAGCACGTTGCCGATCCCGATCCTAATAAATCAGATACTTTGGAGTCATGCATTGTGGTCTCTAAACACAAGCCAGCTCTATCTTGTCCTCAGACCAAAGCCCAGCAGCCTGTCCCATTGCTGGAGAAAGACTTAGCTGTGTCAGATTTTTTTAAGGGATAGACTATGGTCTCCAACTGGGCTCTTTCCAGGGGGCACTGCACAGTTTGCTTTGGCTCTGCTGGTTTTTGTTTTTTGCACTGACTTTAGAATCTAATCTTTGGGTAAGATGAGACTGCTGCAGTTATGAAAAAGGGGTAGGAATTAGGATCATCAGGACCACCAGGATCTAAAATTATACTGAGTTAGTATTGAGGGCATTGGCTTACGTTTAGGGTTTCTGTCCCAATGAGACTTTTTCTACTGCGCTCATGTGTCACCAACTCCCTCTAAAAGGGTAGACGTCTTCTAATTTAGAAACCAACATGCCCAAGGAACCAAGCATTCCCGGGGGACCGTCTGCTTTGTGTTTTGTCACCAAGAATATTACGCAATTCTAAAGTTGTTCTGGGAGATTTCTTCCAGAACCGGGAATCTAAGAGAGAGAGAGAAAGGCTGAATAAAAGGAACTCCACTGTGGATTTTCCTTTCAAAACACATCACTGGATACATAGAAGCTAATATAGTCAGCTGTGTGCGCACACCTGAGTGGTAATTCCCAGGGAAGCTGCTATTAATTACCACTGGAACTGTTCTTGCCTTGGACGGGCAAGGGGAGACTAAATAAATAAATTTATATTTTATCATTTTGCGAAGGATCTGGGTTAAACAGCTTCACAAAAAACCGGCACCGCCCTTCTGCGCCATGCGCATCCGAGGGCAGGCAAGCTGGCCACAGGCACCTCTCCAAGTCAACGCGCTCGCGTCTGTGGCCGAGTGGCAAAGGCCGCCGGGCTGTGGCGCGGGGCGCAGAATGGCTCTTCACACCTGGAGAGCTACGGCCCTGACCCTCGAAAACGAAATCCAGTGCGGAAGTCTCTTCAAACTAAATCTGGTGAAGGCTTCAGCACACAAGGAGAGGGGTGGCCACTCCACATGCAAAAGGCCTCTCCAGGGAGCTTCAGCGGCGCCGCGACAAGCAGCCACTCTGACGAGAAGGGTGTACACAGCTCACGTGGGGATGGATGGAAACCGTGGCAAGAGTGGGCTTGTTGGTTTTTTGTTTCTTCCTGGGCTCAAGACTCCGTCCTTTCCCCCCACGCACCAGGCACGGTCTTTGTTTTGGAGGAGACAGATCAAATGTGTCCATCGTGGAGCATAAAAAGGCTGCGTCTTAGCCCCCAAGTCCGGGGGTCAGAGTCGTTGCTTTGGAGACTTTTCCAAGCAGCTCTGGGCAGGGTGTGGGTGGCACTCCATGCGACCCTGTTCTCACAGAGGCATCTCGCAGCCGGGGGTGCTAGGGCCGCTTCAGAGCCACAGCCCTCTCTAGGACACCGGGCACCGCGGAAAGATCCCAAATTGGCCGCCCGGACGGGCGCGGGGAGGCGGCGGGTGGCCTCAGCTCCGAGGGGCGTGGGCTCGGCCAGGGCGCCGCCGTGGCTTGACGGGCCACGCGAACGGGGGTCCCCGTGCGTGACTGTGCCCAGGCCGAGTCACAGCGCGCCACACCCCTCTCGCTCTGCGCCCTGCCTGGATGCAGGGCGATCGCCTGGCCCCCGAAGGCGCCCCCAAGGTGGCAGGAGCTCTCGGCGGTCCCTGCGGGCGTGTGGGGCAAGGGGCCCGATGGAAACAAGCTCAGGCTCTGCTCTCTTCCCTCGCGCGTCCCTCCTCGCTGGTCTGCGCCCACGGGCCGGGCGCGCCCTCGGGGGAGGGGGACCGTCTGCGCCGATGGCCGGGCGCGCCC